AAGAAGAAGAAGAGGATGAAGAAGAGGATGAAGAAGAGGAAGAAGAAGAGGATGAAGAAGAGGATGAAGAAGAAGAAGAGGATGAAGAAGAAGAATAGGAAGAAGAGGATGAAGAAGAAGAAGAGGATGAAGAAGAGGATAAAGAAGAGGATGAAGAAGAAGAATAGGAAGAAGAGGATGAAGAAGAAGAAGAGGATGAAGAAGAGGATAAAGAAGAGGATGAAGAAGAAGAGGAGGAAGAAGAAGAATAGGAAGAAGAAGAGGATGAAGAAGAGGATGAAGAAGAGGAAGAAGAAGAGGAAGAAGAAGAGGAGGATGATGAAGAAGAAGAGGATGAAGAAGAGGATGAAGAAGAGGATGAAGAAGAAGAGGAGGAAGAAGAAGAATAGAAGAAGAAGAGGATGAAGAAGAGGAAGAAGAAGAGGAAGAAGAAGAGGAGGAGGATGAAGAAGAAGAGGATGAAGAAGAGGATGAAGAAGATGAAGAAGAGGATGAGGAAGAAGAGGAAGAGGAAGATGAAGAAGAGGATGAAGTAGAAGAAGAGGAAGAAGAGGATGAAGAAGAAGAGGAATTCCAGTCCGGTAAATGTCCCTGCAGAGAGCTCCGCTATTTCTTTGACAGTTCCTTGACATTTATAGCGGTTGCAACAATGTATCTATTTGTTTCCGAATAAAAACATCTGTATCCTAAATGGATACAAATACATTGTTGCAACCGCTATAAATGTCAAGGAACTGTCAAAGAAATAGCAGAGCTCTCTGCAGGGACACTTTTTGCCGGCTGTAGATGGGATGAAAATCGGCCGATTTTTTTACCGTTGCTGGTAACGTCGGCTGCTTGAAGGACCGATTTTTCGTTTTTTTAAAAGAAAAATCGGCCGATTTTCGACCCATCTATGGCCTGCATAATTAAACAAGCTGAAGTTAGAAGCTGATTGGTCTACCATGTACAGCTGCACCAGATTTTCACTCTCCAGCTTTAGTAAATCAGCCCCTATGCCTCTCTGATATACCTGAATACACTGACTATGTAGATGTTATATAGTGATTATAACCTTTTCCTTTCTCTTTGGGGTTCCACTTATGAAAACAAATGTGGTAAATCATATTGATTGGATAACCACTTTCAGTCATTGCCAAACACATTACATGTTAGAAATTGGCTTTTTTAAAAATGAAATTCCTTAGCAAATGTTTTAGTAGCAAGATGGCATAAATGGGTTGACAGGGATAAAAAATAAATTCATGAACATTTTAATTAGATTGTAAAATTAATTCTGACAGCTATACTCAATTCTCCTTCATACCTCAAGCATTTTATAATGTAGCCAAATCAGACGTAGTTTGAGTACATTGTATTCTGTCTACATAAATGACATATAAATAACTAACCAGAAATTTAAATGTACTTCTTTATACTAGCACATTATTGCTGTAGGATGTAATTGAATATACCCTTATTTACCACATCAATCATTATCATTTCATGTCCATATTTAGAAACAATGAGAAAAAAAAAGCATACAGGCTTACCAGACTTCGCTCACAAAAATTATTGGGCACTTAGATAGTGTAGTGGTAAATTAGAGATCACAAATTTTTGCAATGACAACAATGTTCCCAGACAAACTGTTCTATGTTAATTACAGTTTATTCATTTCTCATATTGGAACAAAACCAAGTCATCAGAATTAATTATTACATTACAGCAAAAAAAAAAAAAAAAAAAAATCAGTTCCAAGAACAATCACAATGACTTATTTAATCTTTTTTGAGCTGACTTTTTCTCTAAGTTACTGAATCCTCCTATATTTAAACTATGTGTGCTTACTGCTTTGCTGATGAAAAGTGCAGGACAAACCTGCTTAGGTGCCTTGTCTCATGCATGGTTTACTGCTGTCAATACCATTTGAGCCTGATTCCCTTACAACTTGGTACTTGAATACTAGCAGCACCTTAAAGTGTTACTAAACCCACAACAGTAAAATCAGTCTGTATATGCAGTAAAGCATGCTTGTTATACTCACTGTGGAACCTAAGGGGTCAGTCTTCTGCACTGTGTAAAAAGGCTGTTTGATCCTTTTTCCTCTGCCCCTCCTCTTGTTGAAATGACCACCTGATATAGACTGAATCTGTGGTCACAAGCTCAGCTTGGCGTGTACTGCAAGAGAGGTTTTTTTTTTTTCTCGAGAGCGTGCATGTGATCAGCACAGGGTCAATCAGCACTGTCCAGATAGAGGGTCAGTGGTTTTACATCCTTCTAGAGCAGAAAGGAAACTCCTATAAGCTTTAACCAGTGCTCTGCTGAAGTCACTACACTGCTCTAACTGCCAATGAGAAAGCTATTTAGCTGTTTATATACTAAAATAATTGCATTTCCATGTTCTGTGCACTGTGGGAGACCAGGTATAGTTAATGCAGGGTCCTGGGTTTAGTATCACTTTAAAGAGGCCCAGTTTCTGGGCTAATAGGCAAGTGGGTGTCAAAAATAGCATGGAGGGGGGCACTGCCCTAGGAAGCCTGTACCAATGCAAACACATTTTTCTTAAAAACTAGTATGCAACCAGGATGTTTTTATGTCTAAAGTGAATAATAAAAATGCCCAAATCCTTTAAATAACATGCCTGTGGATGCCCTAATCCTGCCTGTGAAGGGACTCATTTCTGTGATTTAAGTTTACAGATAATCTGTAGCTCAATTTCTGTTCAACCACAGATGCAATACGTGGATCGAAATTTGTCTGATCCCTGAATTTTAAAAACCTTTCAGGCTTCATGCACACTTTGCGGCTCAAAAGCACACTGAGTTACCCATTAATGTGCATGATGTTAAGACAGCCCATTTATTTTGAATACGTGTTAATTTCTTCCTGTTATTTCTTCTTCTGTAATCTGACTTCATAAACTTTTTTGTTCTAAACTCTCCAATAATAGCACTTGTTCTTCAATAGACATTAGGCTAGACTGTTTGAAATCCTCCACTATTCTCTTTGTTTTCCCTTTTTTTCTATACTCATCAATGAAGAATGCATTTTCTGCTCTTTAATTACAGCTATACAGCTAGTACTCATTTTCTGAGATATTAAGTATTCTTTATCTTTCATATTTACTTCTTTACATTTTTATTTTCAAAGTTGTCTTTAGAGGATGCAGCTTGATAATTATTCATTCCTCTCTTCTTATAAAACACTGTAAATTGACCCAATCCTATCTATGCTTGTTCTTTTTTAATCTTTTGCTTTTATGTTTTTTTAAATGTTTCTGCTTATTAGATATTCTTTCTCAAAGACAAGATATTTAGTATGCTTTTTCTAATCTTCTTTGAATATGCAATCACTGTTTCATTTTAGGACATGTGATTCAAGTGTGTTATTTACTGCTGTCACATGATTTTTACTTCTTGAGTCCTTGTATTAAGAAATATAGCACCTGTTGTTAAATACGTTCACACGGACAATGCCGTTTTCATCGATTTTATTTTTACGTCAATATTTTAATTTCATTTTTTCACATGCCTTCTGATCTTTCTCTTCATTTCAGAGAATGTGGACATTCATTCCAGAATGAATACACAGAAGGTATATAAAGGAATATTTTATAGAATTTCAGTATTGAATTGTCATAATAGACTCAATTCAATATTGCTTAAACTAAAATATAAAAATAATTACTGAAAATGTATGCATTATTTTAAGATAAACAATGCTATATCCATTATACATAGGGATTATCAAAACTGGTCAATTTGCCTACATTTCACAAACGTGAGATTTTGTAATGTTAGCAAAATGATTTGGAATCATTAGGGAAGGTGAAATTACTATCCTTTTAAGATAAATACAAAAGCCTCTGACCTTATAATCATGTGCCTATTGTTTGTAAACAGATTGATTGTGCAGAAAAAAAAACAGTATATACATATATAATTCCATGCAGTAGGTTCCCTCCCTTTTGGGTAGGGAGGAGCTAATACATTTAAATTCCTCTTCCCTGTGTGACTGGTCACCTAAAGCCTTATGATTTTACTGCCATGCTGGTCGTAGCTTACCAATGTCATCAAGTACATTACAGGACCAGCAGTCCTGCATTTTATGCAAGGACAGTGAGGGCTTACTCAGAACCTAGTCAATGCCATACAGTAGATGACAGTGTCATCGCCTAGGGGAGAGAGGAATATGATAAGTATTTGTACTTGGGTTTTTTTCACCCTTAGCCAAAAGTTTAACCCATACAGTGCACAGGAGACCTTATTACATGACTATGTTTAGCAATGGCCCAGTGTGGGGCTTTATTATTTTCAATCTACAGAAATAATGACAATCCCCAGATGTACTACATGATTTTTTTGGGAAGTTTACAGGAACATTGAGTATTTAGAAAATGTCACATCATTGGGCTATTTAAATAAATGAAAAAAAAACCAAGCAAATATAATATTATTTTTAAGGTCTGAAAGACATAATTTAGCTAACGTGAAGTATGTTAAAAGTAAACTATCAAAATGTGTGTACTTCTCTTAAGAAAGATTGAAAAATTGAATTTTCCTACATATGTATATAAATACACATACACATACACACACACACACACACACACACACACATAACTCAGCATAAATGAGTGCACCCCTTTTTAAAAGGAAAATTTTAATCAACATCTCAGTGAACACAAGAACAATTTCCAAAATTTTGACAATACTGAGTTTTATAGAACATTTGTTTAGCTCATTACATGAAATTTAGGTTAATAATATAACTTAGATTACAAAATCTTAAATTTTACTCAAATTAGTTGATGCAAAGATGAATACACCCCGCAACAAAAACTACTACATCTGGTATTTTGTATGACCTCCATGATTTGCAAGGACAGCACCAAGTCTTCTAAGCATGGAATGACCAAATTGGCGACATATTACAACATCTATCTGTTTCCAATCTTTAAGAACAACCACTTTTAGAGCCTGAATGCTGGATGGAGAGTGATGCTCAACTTGTCTCTTCAGAATTCCCCATGGGTGTTCAATTGGGTTCAGATCAGGAGACATACTTGGCCACTGAATCACTTTCACCCTGTTCTTCTTCAGAAATTCCAGCAGTTTATATCCAGTTATGAACAAGTGGGCTTTACCATTGACTGAAATTCAACAGGTACAGCTGATGGTGTTGCTATATTGGATAGTATGACTCATTATGGTTATATTACATGTTCGTATGTATATATCTGTTATAGAGCAAGATTTACTGCGATTGAGCAGTTGCCGATCACTTTGTGTGCTCCAGTGCCCGCCCAAGGGGACTACCCACATTGTGGATACATGCTCAATTAAGGTGGAGCTATAATTCTATATATGTTGATATATTATTGTTTAATTTGAGTGCTATATGTATAAAGCTATGCTTCGGATATGTATGATATTTGCTGTTTATATCAAATGCTTTCTTGTCCTTTAATATAGTAACCTCTGCTGTAGTCTCATGTGTCCTGAGGAAGCATAAGAGAAATGCATTGAATCATGAGGGCTCACCACCATGATAATTGCTGCAGATACCATACTATCAATGTTTTGACATATGTACTGCTATTATGTGGTAGAGTGAGTCAGCAGTAGGGAGCATTGGAATTTATATTGAGCAATTTTATATTCAATTACAGTAATTTGAATGTTGTTTTGGTGTAATGAATAAAATTTGTACTTTTATACAAATATGTGTGGGTTCCCCTTTAATGCCAGTAAAGTCCTACATTTTGTGTTTTCTTGATATACATTCAGAAATGCAACAGTGGCCATAGGTGTGTGTTTTGGATCATTGTCATGTTGGAAAAGTGCATGACGACCAAGGGCACGGAGTGATGGTAGCATCTTCTCTTTTAATATAGAGCAGAACATCTGTAAATTCATGATATCATCAATGAAATTCAGCTCCCTGACACCAGCAGAACTCATGCAGCTCTACAGAAGGACACTGCCACCACCATGATTCACTGTAGGCACCATGCATTTTTCTTTGTAATCCTCACCTTTGTAACACCATACAGTTTTGAAGACAACAGTTCCAAAAACATTTATCTTGGTTTCATTGCAGAGTACAGAGTCCCAGTAGTCTTATTTTTCACCATGGGCCCTGGAAAATTCTAGGTAGGCTTTTTTGTTCATGGGCTTTAGGAGAGGCTTCCTTCATAAACAACACCCATGCATGCCATTCCTCTGCAGTGTACGCCATATTTTGTAATGAGAAACAATCACCCCAGTTTGGCTTTCTACCTCTTTAGCTAACTGCAGTGAAGTTGCTTGGTAATTTTCTTCAACCCTTCTCATCAGAAGATGCTCTGTTGAAGTGTTAACTTCCTTGGACAGCCTGGACATTTCTGTGAGATGATTGCAGTTCCATCTTAGTTAAATTTTTATATCACTTTTGCTCCAGTATTTTGACTGATAAGTAAAGCTTTGCTTATCTTGTAGCCTTCACCCTTCTTGTATAAAGAAATGATATTCTTTCTCCGGCCTTGTGACATTTCTCTTCTATGTGGTGCCATTGCTAACAGCATGAAATGGGAAGGGGTGTTCTTTGTTAAATAACTCCATTTTATATTCAGCTGTCTGCTGGGCATATGTTTAACCTCTTCCCATCCAGCCCATGCTGATAAACGGCCATCCAGGAGTGCTACCGATGTGGGTGGACGTTTCTAAACATTCCCCCTCGCATCCATTGCCCATGTGCTCTCCCTGGGTGCTTGCAGCACTGCGATTGGACACAGCAGAACACAGATCGCTATACGAGACCTCTGTGTGAGGTTCCGATTCATGTGATCAATGATTGGCCAATCAGTGATCACATGAATAGTAGTAAACAAGATGTCACTTCCTGACATCATTGTACTACTTGTGAAATCTGTGAATGATCACAGAGGTCACATGGTAAAAGGCTATTTACAACAGCCTTGTACCATGTGACAAGCTGTGATCAATCACAGAATGCAGCCAGAGAGAAGTAGAAATGGTCGCTTTACAGCCTTTATGGGTATGATGAATTTTTTATGTTAAATATAGTTCCAAAATATCAATATTTCTACCAGTATTAACATGAGGACACAACAGACGTATGGTATTTGATCTTTCTCTATAAGGTAGGAAATAAGAAGGTACAGCTCATTCTACACTTCCTGTATATGTTGAAAAAAAGTTTTCAGCTTCATTCCTGATTGTTTAGAGATCATTTTAGATGTCTTTATGGCTTCCTGCCATAAAATTGATTTACTTTTTTTTTCTCATCCTGTAGGGTCCCTGAAAATGTATTCCTAGTTTTAGTGGCTACTATAGACCGAGTTGTATTCTATTATGATTTGGGTGCCTCTTAGCCTGCTACTAATGATGAGCTAATGTGCCTAGGTTCACTTTCTTCAAATTAGTAAATTCTGGAAATTGTGAACTTTAATCTAAACCCCACTGAAATCAATAAGAGACAAATAAAATATTAATTCTAACTGCATGCAGCACCGCATTGCATTTTGTTAAATGTTGGATAAAATGTAAAAACAAAGTGCCCAAAATATTTTTTTTAAAAATAATCCTGCATCCCCCAAATCCCTTTTGCTATATCTGTATTCCCAATTGTTCCCTGAATATTAAATATATAGACTTCAGGTAAGGTTGGTAAAATTTGACTAGCATCAGGGCAGTAACCGAACACTAATAGGTAGCAAAATGAGAGAGCTCTGCTCCATTTTTTTTTTATGTATCTGCTGCCAGCAAAACTGCTGTGGTCTGCATAATCTGTGTAAAAGTGTCAGCAATTTGGGTAACACATGTATAAGGGGAACATATGACTGTGCACCAAACAGGTGGGTGGGAGCACCACCTTAAGGAAACAAAGCCCACACTTAACCTCTGGAAGATTTACCCCCCTTCCTGACATTTTGCTATACAGCACTGTGTTACTTTAACTGACAATTGCGCAGTCATGCAATGCTGTACATAAATTAAATTTATGTAATTTTTTTCCACATAAACAGCTTTCTTTTGGTGGTATTTGATCACCACTGGGTTTTTTATTTTTTGTGCTAACAATTTTGAAAAAAAAAAACAGTGTTTTTGCTTTCTGCTGTAAAACCTATCCAATAAAAAAAATGTAAAAAAACAAATTTCTTCATAAATTTAAGCCAATGTATTCTGCTACATATTTTTGGTAAAAAAAATACCAATAAGCATATATTGATTGGTTTGTGCAAGAGTTATAGCATCTACAAACAATAGTATATATATATTGGAATTTTTTTTCTTTATACTAGTAATGGCAGCAATCAGAGTCTTATAGTGGGACTGCGATATTGTGGTGGACAGACACTAAATGAAAATTTGTGGAAACCAGAGACACTAATACAGTGATCAGTGCTGAAAATATGCACTTTCACTGTACTAATGACACTAGCTAGGAAAAGACTAAACATCTAGGGCAATCAAAGGGTTAACTGTGTGCCTAACCAGTGATTTTGTGTGGTGATTTTACTAGGTAATGCGCTATATTTTATTCCCTGCTTTGCAGGGAAATAAAAATACAGCACACCGCCACTGACAGGACACAGCTCTGCCTTGTTTACATAGGCAGAGCTGTGTCTTGTCTCCTCTTCTCACAGATCAGTGTGTATCAGCGGTCATTCTTTGGCCGAGAAATGCTAATCGGCTTCTACTATGACTGATCAACCAGGAAGTGCAAGAACTAATGTATGTTTTACCCTAAAGCATGCGGTCAGCATTAGGTTCCACATGACTATTCTGACATTTTTGGTGAAGTAATATGATCTATTTTTTATTTTTCTTTATTACAAGCTATCTGGTGTCTCTGTTCAAAATGTACAATATTTTTAACTGATTTGCACAGAGCCAGCACACAAATTAGCTGTCTCTTTCATGTAAAACAAATACACTTTTTTTTTATTTAAAGCTGACTGCTGCCCCTCCTATTTCAAATACAGACTACCAAAAGTGCCTAAGTACTGTCTATGGGGTTACTGAAATATTTTTGGCCTGAAAAAAAAAGGGTGCCTACAAGAGATTGTTGAAATACTGTCTAAGTATGTCCAATTGTAATTTATTTTACCAGTGAAAAACATACTTTATTTTGTTTTTTTGTCTGTATAAGGAAAGTGGTTTATCAAGTGAGGCCTCCCACAAATGTATTCGCATTTCATGCAGTGTGTACCATATTACTTCTGTTTTAACATGAAAAATATCAGTTTGATATTTTGTGTGCTATCCACAGCTAAATAGTTATGTGGTTTAGGTAATGATATCTGCAATAGTAAATACCACTTATGCTGTACATAGTATATTACTTATATTGCAGTCAGAGTATTAAAAACTTGAAATGATAGGAAGCAGCTTGGCACAGAGTTGGAAAACTTCATTTCAATCCAAGTTTTGCCATTAGATGGTGCTCCTTTATGGAATTCACCTTGCTGGACTCAGAATAACAGTTCTTTTGTTTTCTTTCAGATATACAGAATGGGTATATCCTAGCATTTCCTAACATCTCCTAAAACAGATGGTTTATATCATTTTATTCTCAAGCCAACCTGCTCATATATTTGTAGCGCTACCCCCAGAGGAGCCCTTTGTATTTTTGCCCAGGTTTCCCACTGTCTTCACCCCGCAACCAGCAACAAAGTTTTTCTCACAGCCAGGTAGAAACACACACCTTCTTTCGTTGCCTTCAATGACCAATCTAGGGGACAGGTGCAGACTGACCATAGGGCATACCGGGCATTTGCCTGGTGGGCCAGGGCCGCCTGGATAGGAGGGGCAGCTGGGCAGCACATACAGGAACCGGACCGTGCATTTCTCGATTCCTCTGTGTGCCGCCTGGCCACCCCTCCTATCCATCTTCTGCTGCCCTGGGCTCCTGTATGCTCCCAAGTGGCCGCCCCCCCTCATCACCTGCAGTGCAGCTGCTGGGTTCCCCCTCCCTACAGCTGCAGCAGAGCATCTTTCAGCATATTCTGTCCTCAGTGCTGACAGTTTCCCACCCACAACAGACGGGAGAGGAGAGAGAAAGCAGGTTCTGCTACTTCTCTTCCCACCCTCTCCTCCTGTGTTGGCCTTGCCCACACTTCTCCTTCCATCTCTCCCTCCCTTTTTCTTTCTTTCCTTCTCTTTCTCTCTCCCCTTGTCTCTTTCTTTCCTTCTCTTTCTCTCTCTCTCTCTCGTTCTATTTCTTTCCTTCTCTCTCTCTATCTCTTTCCTTCTCTCTCTCTATCTCTTTCCTTTTCTCTCTCTCTTTCCTTCTCTCTCTCTCTTTCCTTCTCTCTCTCTCTCTCTTTCTTCTTCTCTCTCTCTCTCTCCTTCTCTCTCTCCCTTTCCTTCTCTCTGTCACTTTCTATCATGTACCTGGTGATGGAGGCCAATGGAGAGAGGGATTCCCTTTTGGCTAAGGTCCGGACTCCCCTGAGAGTGGGACAGAGGCAGTCAGGCCCAAAGTTGCACAGGTCTACTGTAGGAGTGCTGGTTGGTGGTCCACTCAGAAGCACAGCTGGTGCATGGAGATAGGTCTGCAGACAGAAGGCGCCTGTGTGTGGTATGTAAGCACGGGATCTAGATGTTTACTAGGTAGTCGGTTCAAGCCAAGGTCAGGTACCAGGTGGGAATTAGAGCAGACGTAGTCAGATGGGATAGCCGAGGTCATACACAGAGGAGCGAGAGAGAGACAGTATCCGTAAGCCAAGCCAAGGTCATATCAGGGGTAAAGCAGAGTAGACAGGTCCAGGAGTAAGCCGAGTCAGTAACAGGAAATCACAGGTCAAAATCACAGGAAACAGGAACAGGCCACTGGAGCTAGAGATCATCCAGCAACTTGAGTAAGTGATGAGCCTCCTTATAAAGGCCGTCTGGCGCCAAACTGAGGCTGATATGTGCTTCTGCGGCCATGCAGAGTACTGGCAGAAATGTCAGATCTTCCAGAACTTCTGCTGTGGACAGGACCCTGACACTTTCCTTCTCTCTCTCTCTCTCTTTCCTTCTTTC